CCTGCTGATTTTACAATTCCTTTGGGTTATGTAATACGTATTATTCTGCCGATAATAAGTTATAAGTAGCAGCATTTTGCTGTATTGACATGGCCTGGCCAAGAACAACAAGGGAAAGATATAGCATTCAAAAAACTGGCAAAATGTTTATGAATTCTAATCCTCTGCACATGAATAAATACATCTGACAAAGTGCAGAGTCCCTCAAAAAGGCCATTCTTGACCTTTCTAATTTGAGTTCAATTGCATGTTCAGTGTTGAGACGCCAGAGTAGGTTCTGCCAATGCTTTAAGCTCCAGCTTCACTACATTTTGTTATTTGTAAAAGTGAGATCCCAGATAATAAGTTATAATTGCTCTATTAATCACTCAGGAAGGGGTTTTGGAGGGAAATTGGGATTTTAAATTGCAATAATTGGTATCTGAAAGGCATCCCTTTTTACTTTTGTATTCAGAGCTTATCACGTAAAACTAGTGTGAAAACTGCATAGATGCACTTTTTAAAAAATGGTGAGGTACATGCAATATGCCTTATATATTATTTTTACTAAAGGAAAGAAATTTAAAACCTTAATGTAGTCATGATGACCTTTGACCCGGAAAAAATACAAAAAAAGCGCCTTGGTTTATAAATTATATTGTCAATGAAAGTGAGAAGAACTCTTTGTTTCTCGAGTTGTTTCAAGTATTACATTTTCATTTCCTTTTTCCACATGAATTATAATGTACAACACATTTGTATTTTTGTTCCATTTTCCATTTTAAAAATTCTTTTTCTTAGCTTTGTTCCTCCATGCACTAATAGACTAGATGCAACAAAATTTACATTTGAAAGTTCACCATATCAAGTCTGTTTGTTATCCTTAAAGTATTTTGTGGAAAATCTATTATTGTTACTTAAGGTCCTAAGAAGTCTCACTGGAAAAAAAAAAATAGAAATACAAAATAATAGAAAGACATAGATATTTAAATCTCCTTATCTTTAGGTCATTATGAATTAATTTTAGATTGTACTTATGCCATCAAAGATAGTCAACCAAAAAGGACATGATGGGATTTAGGGCATTATAATAACTAAATCAAATTTACTGTAAGATATTCATGGGATTAAAATCAATTGAATCATCAATATAGCCCAGAATATTTATTTTAGTAATCACTTACCAGAATTTTTAGCAATCTATACCCACACAATGGGCAGATTTAAGATTCACCAATGAGCCTTTTCTCTTATTCTACCTCAGGGTTAGTCTTTCTAAAAATATAGAGAAAAGGTGCAAGACTCAAGCTTTAAAACAGCTGACATTCTTCTAATGTCATTAATTGCTCTGTGAAATCAACCTATTTGATGCCAGGAAAAGCGTGTGTATGAAAGTGAACACAGACCTCCCAGTCAAAAGGGTATGAAGTGGAAGGAAAGCACAAAACACATCCATTTTGCTTTTTAGTAAACTCTTATAAATTAAACAAAATGTGCAATCCACACCACTGGATCTCTTCTGAAACACAGTCATCTCTTAAAGAAAGATATTAGAGGACTGATTACTCCATCCTTACTGGAAATATTCCCTTGGGAGAATACAGTTGGACCTAGTACAGAGATGACAAGGACATTAGAGACAGAATCTTAATTTGCTGGGTGTGTTCAAAGAGGGCAGTGAAATCCATAATTTCCTTCCACACAGTCAGAAAGGTAGTTGGCGTCTGCAGTTGGGTAACATTTCTTTCTGGGCAGGTCAGTCATCCGTGGAGCCACAATCCACAACCTACTTTGATTTTCTGCACATCTGGTGTGAACCTCTAAAATGCAAAATTGAATCCAGTCTGCCTCTCTAAAATGTTTCTATATTTAAAATCAAATAAGTGATTTGAGAATATGAGTGATTATCTAAAAAAAAGTTATCTCTTGAGTAAACAGAACAGCCTAATATTAAAATAAAATAGAAATAGCTTATTTTACACTACTTTATTGCCAAAAAAAACTATATTGTTTGCCATTATTGATTCATAGAAGTCTCAGAAAGACTCTCAACAGTTTAGAAAATCTTAGACACCTTCAATTATTTGTAAGCCCAAAGTGCAGTTTATAGTTGACGCTAATTATTAGATAATTATATCTTTCATGTTATTGTACTAGATAAAATTATGCAACAGTATAAATGAAGTACTTGAGCAGGTGCTCAAGTGTTCTTACGTTTTTTCTTTCAATGAAAAGTATACACATTTACCACAGCAAGTATGGCAAAATAATCATGTTGAAGCTACAGGTTTATAACATAATGATGACAATAAAAGCTATGTGTTTGATGTGCAAAAAAAGGGGTTTTGTCATAGAAAGTAATACGAATGATAGATTTCAAAAATATTTTGTATATGTTTATTCTTTTTTTGGGCGGGGGGAGAGAGGTTTTTGCTATAGGGCGCATGGGCTTGCCAGACAGACAGAGACAGACAGAGAGACAGAAAGCGAGAAATCACCGCCCAGGGGGGATGGCCACGCCACAATCCCTTCTCCTCCGTTCTCCTCTTGGGATCTTAGGCACGCACGCACACGTGCCCGGCATGAGTTTAAGCCACTAGGTCCGGGACTTGAACCGCAGTCAACTACGTGGGAGTCCAGCGACATAGCCATTACACTAACTGCTGGTCCCTATATGCTTATTCTTTAAGCAGCTATATTTCAAGTTCACAAAAGGCAAAATAAACACAATAATCCTAATATTGATATTACCACATATTTGCTATGAAAAAAATAAGTAAATTGATAAATAAGTAAATTGATAATATTAATGAATATAAACAAATTTAGAAATATTTGCTGCATTGCAATTAATTTGTCCAAAAACTTGCAATGATTTAGAAGCAAAACTCGTAACAATTGCACCTGAAGTCTGCAGACAGGGCAGAAAAATATGTTGCAATGTAATTGTTTAATTTGAAAGGAAAAAAAGGTGACTTTTGTTATTTAGGTACAATGTTGGATCTAAGGCATTCTCCATGCATGATGTTGGATGAGTTTTTCAACCATTTTGAGACTCATCACCATCCATAAGATAGATATATAATATTTGTCTCTTAGCCTATAAAATTATTAAATATTGACAAAAATAGTTTATCGGTTCTTTTTTTCTTCTTTTTTTTTTTTCCTGAACTAACATAGTCCCATGGATATTTTGACAGAAAATTTTTGGAGTGTTATTTCTTATTTGATGTTTTAATGCTCATTGATTAGGTCAGTAAACAAAGCATTCTTTTTCCAAAAGCTAGATTCACTCATTTTTTTAGTTCTATGACTAGCCTGATTGAAGGGAAGTACTATATGGAGTCTCTACCTGGGAAAAAGTTGTAAATATAATAGGAGAGCACGTAGACTTCTCTTATCTGAACCTTGCCTTTTTCCTTAAAGGTAAGAGTAACATTCTAAGAACAAACGAGTGAAAATAAAATATACATTGAAATTTGCATGCGTACATCCCTTTTTTTTCCCTCTGACCTTTTGTACTTTTGCTTTTTTACCTCATTTCCTAGAAGGGCATTTACACAGGCTTCTGATGCATCACAGATGGCTGTGAGATCATGTCCTCCTTCTAGAGCCAACACCACACGTCCATCAGCCAATGTCATCAATTGCTTCGTCAAATGACCAAAGCCTACCATAATACAAACACAGCATTTCAAAGGATGAAGTCAAGAGCAAATGACTGCTAGAGTCTAACATTGATTGAGCATTAATTCTGTGCAGCTTCTCTCTCACCATTTTCTATATGCTAATTCATTTTACACTCAGAATAACTATATGGGTTAGATACTATTATTCTTTCTGTTTTCCAGGTAAGGGAACCAAAATTCAAGTTCCCACAGCTAAGACATATCACAACCAAGCTTTGTACCAGTCAGTCTGGCTCTGCATCAGTGTATGGCACTAACTTTTAGGACACATTCTGTATGCGTCTAAATGAGAAACTTGACTAGCATTCGGTCATTGTTAACAACATGAAACTCTCTCATCTGCTGGCCATATACTTCCTGTTGCCATCCTCTATCTTTATTATAAAAGCAATTGTTCTACAATATTACATTAGTATCACCTTAGATGCTTATACATACTGTTTTATTATAAAATGTTTGATAAATGCCAACTATATAAATAACATTTTTATGTGTTATATGTATAGGCATATGACAAATACCTGCCCACTCACCTGTCCACTTGAGGAAAGCAATATTAGCAATCATTTTGAAACCTCCTGTGTGACTCTCTGATTGCAACGGTCCTCCTCCTTGTGGGAAATCAAGACTCTGTGTTGATGCCTGTGTTCCATCTATTTTCTTTGCTTAATTTGCTTGTTTTTGAATTTACACAAATAGTTTCATACTTTTACAACTTGCATTTTCACAGCTAGTTTCTGTTGATGCATGTGGTTATAATTCCTTGTTCTAGCAAGTCATTTTTACAGTTATCGAATATTTTACCCATTCTCTTATTGGTAGACATGCAGTTTTTATGTTATTACACAACTTGAGATTTTTATTATTATAATGTTATCATGAATAGACCTTATGTAGGTCTTCTGGTGCACAAATGGAAGAGTGGAATGGGGTTGTTGAGTATTAACATTTTCTAGATAATGCCAGATTATTTTCAAAAGGCTATAACCAAATTCTGTTCTCAGAAGCAGTACATAGGAGAGGACTTCAAAAAGTTTGTGGAAAAAATGGAATTAAAGTAAGAGTTTATTGAATAATGCCAAATATTTAAAAAATATATACATAGACGGGACCAGCAGATGGTTAGGCTGCTAGGCTCCCAGGTAGTCAATCCTGGTTCAAGTCTGGATCTGGTGACTTAAATTCATGCCAGGCACATGTGCATGCATGCCCAAAATCCGGAGAGGAGAATGGAGAAGGAACTGTGGCATGGCCATCCCCCAGGGGGATGATTTCTTGCCTTCTGTCTGTCTGTCTCTATCTCTCCAATGAGCACCTGCACCCGATAGCAAAAATATCTCAAATATAAAAAATAAAATACATGTATATATTTTTTTATTATCATCTTTCAAGAATTTCTTGAGGACCCCCATGTGTAAGAATTCCAATTTAGTCACATACTTGCCAATGGTGTTGTGATTTGTTTAGCAGGTGGGTAAATAATGGCATCTTATTATGACTTCATTCAGTAAGGAAAGAGCTCTCGATTTCTAGTTTGAATTAGAGTTCTTATTATGAATAGATATAGAGTGTAATTTGATATAGAATGTCCCTATCATGTGGCAGCAAGCTATATTAAGTCAATTGTTTAAAAAAAAATGGATTTTGCTATAGGGCACGTGAGCTCACTAGATACAGTTAGAGAGAAAGCTGTCAGGTCCAGGACTTGAAAAAATGGATTTTGCTATAGGGCATGTGAGCTCACTAGATAGAGACAGTTAGAGAGAAAGCTGTCAGGTCCAGGACTTGAACTTCAGTCATCCATATTGGAGTCCAGTGCTTTCCCACCATACCACTTCCTAGCTCCTGCACTACCTTTCAGCACAGAGCCAGGTGTGTTTTGTTATTTTGTTTAGAACTCTTTCCACCTCTGTTCATGAATGGAGTTAATCTATAATTTTTCATTCTTACATTGGCCGTGTTCAATTAAGGCTGAGACTCTCTTCTCTTTTTTCATTATCTAACCTTAGAATGTTGAGTAGAAATCACCTACAAAACTATTTGAGTCTGGTGTTCCCTTTGAGGAAAATTTTTAACTGACTGAATTTTCTTAGCAATTATAAGATGACTCATGCTTCTGAGTTACATTTTTCTAGGAATATGTTTCTTTTATGTAAGTGTTTAAATTCACTGAAATAAAATTATTTCTTTATCTTATTTTAAAATTCCAATGAGATGTTTGTGATTAGCCAATGTCTCTCAATATCTCTCAGGTTTTCTCTCATAATTTCCATCTCTCTTTCTGTCCTGTGTTATGTACATTTTTGATTCAGATGTAGCTTTAAGACTATCTCTAATCTGCTATAGAACACCTTCATTGATATTTTCATTTCAGTTATTATATAGTTTAATTCTATAATTTTTATTTGGTTATATTTTATAATTTTCTATTCATTTTTATATTCTATTATTCCTTTGCTCATATTTTTATTTCTTCTTTTTATTTTTTTCAGCATAGTTATTTTATATTCTGTATTTGATGTTTGATATCTTTTGGTTTATTTGCTCTTTGTTTGCTTCTGTGAATTTATCCCTTAAGAAGCCTTTATTCTTTTCCTCTTTTTTGTCTTTTGTTGGCTTGCTTGCTATTGTTGTATTTTGTATTTTATGCTCATATTCCCTGCAAATGTATGTGTGAAATCATGAAACCTGGACCAAATGTCTGTGTCCACCACCCACCAAATTTGTATGTTGAAATCCTAATCCCCATTGTGATGGCATTAGGAAGTGGACACTTTTGGTACTTAGGTAAAGTCCTCATGAATGGGATTAATGCCCTTGGAAAGGGAATCCCAGAGAATTCTCTAGCCCTCTTGGCACCATGTGAAGATCCAAGAAGTCCATAGTCTGCAATTGAGAAGAAGGCTCTCTCCAGGACCTGATCATGCAGTGACCCTGATCTTGAACTTAAAGCCTCCAGAAATTTGAGAAATAAGTTTCTGCTCTTCATAAACTACCAGTCTATGATACTTTGTTTATAATTATATCTATCTTCGAAGCCTGACTAGAGCGTGATTTTGTCTGCTCTGTTCAATGTTTGGAACACTGCCATCCAGGATCAATTTTCAATTCTTAGATTGTAGAAACTGGTTGTCATTTTGGTTGTTTGTTTGAGCATACATTACAAACATGGACTAAAAAACTTGATTACAAATTCTCGTGGAGAAGACACTCATGACTTTTTTATCCTCTTTTCTTTTACTTCTTCTCCTTGGTCTTTACAAAACTCCCTCTATTGATAGCAGTAGCTGATATAGATTTGTCTATTATTGGCAGTGATCTCATTTCTCCTATTCATCCTTTTCCTTAGAGTTCACCCTTTGTCATTCCTTTCCTTACTCTAGTCTGAAATCAAATTCCTTTCCCTTTATAGGCTGAAGGCATGGATTCTCACTCCCTCCTGCCATATGTAGTAACCTGTATTGATATTCAAATTCTGACCAGTTCGAGAGAGATTTGGGGATAGACATCCCCAGGGTACCCAGCTGTTTCATTTCCACTTCTCTGCCTTTATCTTTTTGGATGTTATCCACACATTTTTGAAGAGTGGTTTTTACACTTAAGATATTTTCATGTAAGAAGGTTTCCAGATATGTATTCTTCCATGTTACCGAATTCAAACATTTCATATTCACCATTATAGGAGATTTAATGTTGTATCCAACCTAATAGCAGTGAAAATTGCAAAACAAAATGGTATAAAAATAAATAACATGTGTCTAGACACTTTTTATATGCTTTATAATCTTATAATGAATTATTTAATATTTATATAAATGACATTTATATAATTAATACACTTTATTTTTTAACCCAATTTTGGTTTACAGGAAAGTCTAGAAGAAAACAAGAGAATTCTCATATGTACTACCCTTCTTCTGTTATTAACATGTATTAGTGTGGTGCATTTGTTACAATTCATAGATCAATTTTGATACATTATTATTAGTTAGTTAGTCATGCTTATCTTGCATTTTTTTTAAAAAAGAATGATTTAACTTTGTTTATCATCATCATCATTTTTATTTTAAGTTCCTACAGGGCATGTGTAGAGAGAAAGCTACAAACAGAAAGTGAGATGGCAAGTCTCCAGGATGGACTCTAACCATGGTTGGCATGTGAGAGTCCAACACCTTAACCACCATGCCACCTGCTGGCCACCCTAATCTTTCTAAAAAAATTTATTATCTATTATTTACATCCAATCATTGTACCTCTTTATAGCATACAATATGTTTTTAAAAGTGTGCATGCAGTACATGATAATAAAATCAAGGACATTACCATAAATATCATCCTGAACAACAACAACAAAATATTAAAGATGTTTTTCCATAAGGCGTGTGTGCTCACCAGAGTAAGACAGAGACAGAACCAAAGAGAGAAAGAGAGAAATCACAAGAAAGCACCTCCTTAGGGAATGGCCATGCCACAATCCCTTCTCTATTCTCCTCTCAGGATTTTGGGCAAGCATGCACATGTGCCTGGTATGATTTCCAAGACACGGTCTAGGACTTGAACCATGAGTGGGCATGAGGGAGTCCAGTGCCTTAACTACCATGCCTAATTCTGGCCTCTTGATAAATTATTATTATTTTTTAGAATGGTTTTATTATTTTTATTTATTATTTTTTTCTAGTTAGAACAGAAAGAGACAGAGAAAGAGAGACTGAGAGAGAGAGAGGGAAAGTGAGAGAGCAAGCCACCAGGTCTGGAACTCTCAAACTGCTGTTGGCCATGTGGGAGTCCAGTGCCTTTAAATACCACCCCACTTACCAGCCCCTAAAACATTATTATTAACTAGAGTTCACAGACAGAGTTTACAATCTGTGTTGTACAATTTTATACGGGTTTTGTGCATTATGTGAAATGCATAATGTTATGTATTCACCATTGTAGTACATTACAGAACAATTTCACTGCCATAAAAAATATCCATGCT